ACTGCCTGGTGACCAGAGGCCCCTAGAAACTGACTCCTGTGGGACACAAGCCCACGGGAGGAAAGTCGGATGCTTGTGCCTCCGCAGTAAGAAGAGACCTGCAGCTCGGGGCACGTGTGGAGGCGTTAAGTGGGTGGCTGCCAATGGCTAATAATCCACATACATCATCTATAATGCCTACAGCACCCCAGGAAGATGACATGTACTGTCACTGCCATTCACAGAATGCAGAAGGCCAGGCCCAGGGTGGCTACGCTTGGTTCAGTGCCAAACGCCAACCTTGTCCAAAGTCAAGTCCCTCTGGCTATGAGCTCCATCCCCTTGTCTCCGACAGGCACCCCACCTCCAGAATCAGCGGGCCTGTTTTCCAATGTCTGTCCTACCCTGCTATTTATTACCTGTAGGACTCTGGGCACATTTCTTAATCTCTGCTCCCCTGTTTCTACATCTTGAAAATAGGGATAACAGTTCTCACTCTGCTTGGATTATTGGGAGTTTTAAATTAGTCTTGTAATGCACACAGACATACATACACAGCCATTCTCACTGTTAATCAAGGAACTGTCTCTCTTCATCAGTTTTCCAAGCCTGCTCTCATGTGTTTTATGTTATTTCAATTGTATAACAATTGACGTTTGGAAAATCGTAATAAAAACATCAAACGTACCTGGTTACCAAATCCCATAGATCTGTACAGAATCCTGTTTTTAGGTGCCTGAATTTACCACATTGCAAGACTTCTAAGAGAAATCAGTTATTTGAATAATCAAGCATAAAAAGGGGCCCAGGCGTGCTTCCACCAAGAGGCCGGTTCTAACAGGAGCAAGCGGTGCTACTCTTTTCGATTCAGTGAGACTTACAGAGAGGAGAGCAAGTGCCCTAAGCTTGTTTCTGCTTGTAGCCTGCTTCATTTTTTGAAGGCAGTTCAACTCCCCTGTGAAAGCTAAGGTAACAGCTTGGAAGCAAGCTGCCTTTGAGAGAGGTACTACTGAACTTGAGCATTTTAGATGACAGCTGCAGAGAGGACACCAGATACAGAGCAGCAAATTTCTGTCTCCTGAAAAGCTGATTCTCGCCTCCACTAGGTTCCTGCACAGACTGGAGCTCTCGGGACCTCAATTTGCCTGTGGATCCGCCTCGACAACCCATTTCCTTGAAGCATTGTGCACCTCCACAACCTTTTAAAAAAAACTCTTTGTGCATTAAAATCATGGTTCTGTTTTTCTCCTAATTTTGGCTGCTAAGCCCTTAGCTTCTTACTACACTTACTTTCTCTCTGTTTTGAATTTTATCTGAATTAAATGAATTTTAATATTTCATTCTATGATTCTTTGTAAGAGGTAAATTTATTTTTGGAACAGGTAGAATATATATGAGTAATTAATACATTATATATGTATTAATATATAATCACATTAAAATATATATGTGAGTAATTAAAACAATATTTCTGGCAGATTTATAAAAATCTAGATTCTGCCTTTTATCACATCTAACTATTCCTAGAAATGCTTATATATTTAACTGAAAATCTTACTGTGCTCACAGTTCTAGCACCAGCTTTCTGTCTCCCCCACAATAAACAGGCACATCTCGCCTACCTGCACTTGGTGGGCCCTGCGTTCGTGCACGTTGCAGGCTGGTGCCGGCCCTGCACTGAGCAAGTCTGTCGGCACCATTTCTCCAGCAGCATTTGCTCACTGTGTTTCTGTGTGCCACATTCTGGTAATTCTCCCGATATTTCAGATTTTCTTACTATCACTAGTGATCAGTGATCTTGGATGTCACTGCTGTAATGCCACAAACCATGCCCATCTAACGACAGTGAGGTCAGCCGATACATGTGTGTGATCCACCATCCCCGTTTCTCCCTCTCCTTAGGCCTCTGAGACACAGCATTGAAATTAGGCCAATTAGTAACCCAACAATAGCCTTTGAATGTTCAAGTGAGAGGAAGAGTCCCCCTCTCTGACTTAAATCACAAGTTAGAAACAGTTAAGCTTCGTGAGGAAGGCAGGTCAACAGCCTAGTGAGCCCGAAGCCAGGCTTCCTGCACCGGTGAACCCAGTTGTGAATGCGAAGAAAGAGTTCCTTCTAAGGAAATCAGAAGTGCTGTTTACGTAATTGATACGTGCACACATAAGTGACAGAGAGTGAAGCAGCCCTATGGCTGACACGGAGGATGTTCTCATGGTCTGGAGAGAAGATCAAACCAGCCACAACACTGCCTCAAATTAAGCCAGAGCCTCATCCGGAGCAAGGCCCCGAGTTTCTTCCATCCTGTGAGGCCGAGAGAGGGGAGGAAGGGCAGAAGAGTAGCTGGAATCCGGCAGAGAAGGTTAGAAAGCCAGTGCCCAGAACATCCGGTGAACACGCGCGCAGAGAGAACAGGGCAGGCGGGAGAAAGGGACCGAGAGAAGCCGGGGCCGGTGCAGGGGCTGGGGGGACAGATGCCGTGGGGCTGACACGCTGCCCAGCCTGCTTTCTGCGTTTTGTAGTTCCAGTCCCACCAGAGGCCTCCACACATTCCTGCGTTTGGGTGCCCTACAGGATGCCTATATCCTTGTAATAAGTACTCTAATACTGTCTTACTTCATTTGTTCAAGTTTGCTAACATTATGAAATTAAAGATAATTCAAATCAGGGACTACACGACAGCGTCCATGTGGATGCACCATGGTCTGCTTTTATGAACAGGCTGCCGGCCGCAAGCGCTAGCACTTCAGAGAGCTGTAACTATCCACCCAAAGAAGTAAGATCGGTGTTGCATGAAAATGTGCATTCTGGTAACTTTGGCGTGAAAGAAGGGTGGGAAGTAGCAAGGAAAAATTGCCAAAGGGCCTCAAATTTACCTCTTTGTTAAGTGTATATGTGAATCTAAAACTAAACAATCAAATTTCAATTATAGAAAAAATACAAGCAAAAGTAAATATTAAATCATGATAAATATTACTGGAAATATGAACTCAAATTATTTAGCTGTTAAAATATATTTACGCAGATATATACACCTATTTATATAATAGGACATACGTATATAAAGAACATACATACCAGGTATGCACATTCCCTGAAACACAGATATTTATCACTTGAAAAGTAAAGATTGTTATTCAGACATTATCAGCATCTCAGCATTGGCATAATACATCTATAAATATGTTGGTTTAGTAAATACCTATATGCCAAATAGGAAGATCATATTATAACTCTTAAAAGAATAAGCCCTACTTCTCTTACTTCATGTTAGAGTGAGTATTCATCATGCCCCCTGAAAAGCACACAAAACACTCATTAATGAATGCAGATAACTGAAGTAATGATATTATAATAAATGACACTCATGAGAATTCAGGATAAGTATACGACAAATGCAACCTATTATCCTGTAAAGTTTTCTATAACCTAATACAATTTTCTCTATTAGGTATTATATCTCTAGGAATTATCAGAAAACAAAAATAGAAATCAGTAACATTTTATAGTTAAATTATGATAGAAACACTATGCCATGTTAAAGGTCAATTTAAAAATTTAAATATGAAGAGCTGAAAACAGTTTTCTTAACTTAAAAATGAACATTTAGGATAGATGATTCTCCAGTTTAAGTGTTTGCAGCTTAAAGCATCCTGTAGGTAACAAAGATCCCACATTCTTTTCACATAAAAATCTATTTACCATGGGAAATATAACCTAAATTTTCCAATATTAAGACAGTAAACATTTTGCAAAAGTTTTAAGATGTTAAAACTTGAGTACAGATAGCAATTGAACATATTAAGAGATGCGTAAAAAACTGAGAATCAATTACAAATCCGTCATCAGTTTTAAGTTAAATGTTTTCCAGTTAACAGTACTAGCCAGAGAAGGTTTATATACTTGGAGAATAATTATTTTATTGAAAGTCTTACTTCAGGTGTACAGTGACATGTACTGCTAACATGCTGCAAGTAAGCAATACTAACATATGAAAACACAGCTTCATAAGTGCACAGATCATAAAGAAGGCACGCTGTATGCTCTAAAAGTGAAGGCAGACACCTCGTTTTTCCTAGCATGCCTGCAACAGTCCCTGGTGCGCAGCAGGTGCTGAGTATCTGGACTAGCAGGTTTTCTTCACTAGGCCAGGGATTAGCACAGCCTCGTGGCTGTCTCCCTGTCCTAAAGACTTGTGGGGGCACTTTAGGCCCCCTCTCCGGGACTGTCTGCAGACGCAAGAGAGCTAGCTAGACATGGTTTGTCCCATTCTGCCACTAAGTAGGTATGAAATTATGGTAAGAGGTGTGACCACTCTGGTATCACTTCCTCATCTGTAAACTTCAGTGACTCTAAAAATGAAGCTTAGCAGCTGTTTCCAGTTCCATCATTTTGCCACTATGATCTACTCAAGAATTTGTTTTAAAAGCTAGTTTTCTAAGGCCACTTAAAATAAGATTTGGTATATGCAAATTTTGCTTCACTAGAATCTTCAGAAGCATTCAATGATGCAAAATCAGAGACACATATAGACAGTTTCCCACTTGAAAACAATATTTTTAAGTAGTGTCAGCATATAAGCAGAAGCTTTAAATATTGAGAGCAACTAAAGTATCTAACTTTAGAAAAAGATAGACATAGATTACTTCATATTCTAATTTCTATAAATTATTGTAATGGTCAAATTCCCATGTATAAGTTTCACTTTACTTTTGTAGTAAAAGAAACCTGTGATTTTCCTCTCATCAGAAAGCTCTTACACTTCGTATTTTGTATATACAGCACACAATCGACTGTCTCCTTCCCCTTCATGGACAATGAACTATCTGAGGACACAAGGCATGTAGAGACTGGTGTCTGGAATATTTGATTCCCGATCCCCTTGTAGCCTGACCAGATAGATACCACTGAGTCATTTCCATGACCATAATTTCACGTTTTCTTATCACATGACAAAAGTTACAAAGTAACTCATTGGAATTACACCATTTTGGAGTTTGGAGACACATGGAAAACAGCCTTACCTGGGCAAGCTTATGCTTTTCTAGGTTTCCTTCCTTGTCACCGTGTAATGTGTAAAGGGGTGTGTACTGTACAGAGCCAGAACAGGTCCCATAATCTTCCTCATTTTCCTACATATGAAGAAATACACAAGTAATGACTTAAACATACTCCTTTTATCATTCTTAGGCAAGTTTCTGGTACAGATTAAGTAACAGAATAATACTTCAAGTATAAATTTAAAGAATTTCTTTAAGGTATGCTCAGTGAAATAAGCCAGGTGGAGAAAGACAAGTACCAAATGATTTCACTCATATGTGGAGCATAAGAACAAAGCAAAAACTGAAGGAACAAACCAGCAGCAGAATCACAGAACCCAAGAATGGACTGACAGTTACCAAAGGGAAAAGGACTGGGGAGGGTGGGTGGGAAGGGAGGGATATGGGGGAAAAAGGGGCATTATGATTAGCATGTATAATGTGGGGGCAGGGGGGACACGGGGAAGGCAGTATAACACAGAGAAGACAAGTAGTGACTCTATAGCATCTTACTACGCTGATGGACAGTGACTGTAATGGGGTGTGTGTGGGGGACTTGATAATGGGGGAGTCTAGTAACCATAATGTTGTTCATGTAATTGTACATTAATGATACCAAAATAAAATAAAATAAAATAAAGATTCTTTTTAGGAAGAAGATACATTTTTCTATATTATGAGTTAAAATATGAAGATCATTTACTCTCCATCACCAAAATGGAAGTTTTAAGCAGTATTTTTTCTCCAAAGGTAGAAATTCGAAACATAAGTGATAGAGTCTACAGGGAGGTGACATGTGATCAGACCAAACACAGATACACAGAGATACTCATATACATGCAGCCGTCACAGACTGAAACATGTACACCCTCAAACACAATCTTTTGTAAAATGAAGACTATGCTTCAATGTGCAGCCGTTTTATGGAAAGAGTCTATAAACCCAAAGGACAGCATCCCTGGCTTAATTCCACACCAGAGATCATCTTTTAAAAAATTCTCAGCTTGAAGCAAGAATTTCAATTGTGGTATCAAGGCAATCAACTTTATGACAGCATACATCCGTTAAAGCACCTTTGAAGATCTCCATAGTTCTGTGACAAAATATGCAAACAATGAAGAGATTATCCAGTGTATGTATATAGAATGGCAGATAGTTGCCAGAGGGCTTCTTATGAGAAATACATTCTTGAACAAAGGGCTAAGCATATTTCAAACACCATTAAAAACATAAATCTCATGTGATCTATAAACTATAAGCTTCAAACTAATGCAGGAACTGAGGCAGAATGAAGAGTGACACACCTTGGGCTTCAGCTTGCTCTTCACCTCCTTTATTCCCTGCTTTGCGTGATTTTTTGCCTGGAAAACAATAACACAAGTGTCTGGCTCAACACGGTTCTACCACCATTTAAGGAATAAATACATGAGACCTCATTTGATGAAAACTGCTAGTTAGAAAAAGAACAAATTATAACATAAAACTATTTTCAGGGATGCCATACACTTACTCCTTTACTTAAATTAGTTGGTGAAAACATGATTAGTCTCTATTTGCATTCAAATATCACACAAAGACTAAATAACATTTGGGCTATTTTGCCTCCTACTCTATAAAAAACACAGAACAAACAACCAGATTGCTAACGACTAGTCTTCACTTGAAATCGTGACTAATTGGGGGAGAAAAAGAGAAAACATCATGGCAGCAGGTTATTCGGGCAAATGTGTGGACTTTAAAGAAACTCTGGCAACTTTATGAAGCTTTATCAAAGTGCTCTTACAGTCAGGCGTGCGTTTTTATTAGAAGAGCTATCTTAACGTCATGGTTATTTCACAATAGTTTTTCTGGCAAAAATTAGAAGTCCTTTCTGTTGCACAGCGAATCCAGCCCCGGCACTGAGCAGCCCAGGCCTGTGGGTTACGACTTCACCTAAGACACCTAAAGGCTTTCACTGAAGCCTTCACCTTTATGCCACTGGAAATCCCCACTCACATGGCCACAGTGAAAAAGAAAAGAAGTTCACGTTTATTTGTGTTTCCTCAGTATTTGTCTGTGTTGGGTACCTAGCATGCAGTATAGCATTTAACCATCACGCAAACTCTAGGACATTACTACTACTACTATTACATTTTGCAAATAAGGAAAGAGACTCAGAGGGGCTAAGTCTGCATAGCCTAGATCCAAATCCACAGCTACTTAGTTCTTACGTCCAACCTCCTCCCATCTCGGAGGAGGAGGAGCCCCACTGACCCTCAGTCTCGTGAGAGAAAAGGCATTGTCAGTCTCGTTCTGCAGACACGGAGACGACGGTCACGCGGACTCAAGACTTCCGACTCCAAAGCCCTGGCTCCTTCAGGCAAACCGTCCTGCTTTGCCCAACTACTTCCAGAAACGGTAAATACATATCTCTCACGTTCACTTGCGGGGGAGCGTCTTATTTCTCTCCTGTTAATGTCTGTAGTACCCAGGATAATATCTGGCATATACAATAACTTTTCAGAAATGTCTTAAACTGAACTAAGCAATTACTTCTTTGTTGTAAATGAGCTGAAACTAAGCTAAATCACACACAGTAGAAGATAACCAGAAAAGCCAGTAACACTAAGTTACACACACTTTCATGGATCTTCAGAATTAATAAAGCATTTTCACATTCACTATGTTATTGGTAAGGCCACTGACTCTACTTAAATGGTCTTCTATTAATCTCTACATTTCCATTAGGCAAAAATAAATAATTGCCTAAAGTTTCTGTTCCCATCTCCTAGAATTTGTACCCATCTTTACCCACTTTGGGACTATATTCTAGTCCACCTAAACATTCTTCACCCTCCCAAGATGCACCTGATTCTCACCTACCTTTTCAGACGCTCCTCATTGTTCAGTCGGATCTGGGGTCAGTTCTGGTTCTGTGACTCATGTAACAACTCATTTAAGTACCTGTTGCCCACGTCCTCCACTGACCTCTTCCAGACCATCTGGAAGATGGGGCACAAATTCTCTCTATCCTTTTCATTTGCCAAGTTGAAACTTAATCAATAAACAAGCATTCTCTTCAGGGAAAGCACCCAGCAAATGGCTTTGGCTCATAATTTAAAATGCAAAGACTTAACAAGAAAGTTGACTTAGAAAATCTTTCAGCCAAATCGAATATTATATTCAGTTTGCTGTTAATTTAAGATTTATGAGAGAGCATGCATGTTAACTCTGGTTTTCTTTATGACCCCTATAAACACCAAAAAGCAGAAACATAGAAAAATGTAAGCATAGAAAAAATATTCTAAAAATAGGACCAAACCATTATTTCCTTCAACACACAGATACTCGGGACTTCTGCAGCAACTGCAAAGCACAGGGTAACAGTGGCACAAGTGCAAACATCTACTCATCGGCCTGTGTACTCACTGGTCTAACTCCAATGACCAGCTATTTCGATTAGCAGAACGAATGGAGAGTTAACTATGATTCTCAGTTTTAACAAATTTACTCTGTATAGTGAATCAAGGTAAATAAATTCTGCTATACCCACAGAAGAGAATTTGAGTTTTGTTCACAACTATTTGTGGCAAAAGGAGGAATTTCAGAGTTTATTTCAGAGTATAAGCAGTCTAGAAAGGTGAGTTTTAGGTACAACTATGAACGTCACAAACTGACTTATTTATTTGCCCCAAATTTCCTGACATGATCACAAGATAAGTAACAAAAATAAGTAAGTACACTCTGAAGACTTCAATTTGCCTGAAATCCTAAGGAAAAGTCTTCTAAAGAGCAGAATTTTTAATTTGGAAACATTTTGCTGTTCTGCAAAGAAGGATTCAAAATAAAGTACTGATCAGAAGGATAAAAATGGAAGTAATGAATGAGGTTTTGAGCATATTTACCTCTGTGCTTTCATGGAATATATGAATGAAATTAAGGAGAAAAACATACATTTACAACACTAAGCCTGAAGAAAAACTTTGAGTATTTGCCCATGGAATAAAATGAAGGGCATAGTGAAACCTTTCTAGACTCTCACATGAGCGTGAGAAACAGATTCAACATTAGTTTGATTTGTCACATGGAAGCCATGTGCTATTTCATTGTGAAAAACCAAAAATATCTTCAAAAGCTGGATGTAAATCAAAGAGCCAGTATTACAGTGAGAGAGCGACCTGCTCAGAGAAGGTTCCCAGCAAAGCCACGGGCGGCCGAAGCAGAGGCAGAGGCCGCCAGTGCCGGGGGGATGGTCACCTCTGCCTACTTGGATGGTGAGTTCGGTATTTTGGCATTTGATTTTGAATCCACTCTGTGGATTAGCTTCCCTATGTAAGACGTAACCTTTGAAGAAGATTTTTTTTAACAGAAATGGTAGCTGCAGATATATTAAAACTGTAAGTCAAGAAGAGAATATGAATTCTAAACTTATTAAAATATACTATTCTATTGTTAATTAAATCACATATATTCATTTACTGAGAAAACATTTGAAGAAAAATTCTTATAAAAACAATACCTCCCTGAATATTTTTTGGAAACATAGAATATATATGGCCTATTGAACTAAAACAAAACAAAACAATGCTTTATTCCATGCCGACCCACCCCCTCTCCCTCAGGAAGCTACTCGTCTAATATTAGAGAGAGAGAGGTACACAGACGGGCTCAACAGTGGTATGTCTAGTCCTGGGGGGCAGAGAAGGGGTATATAAACTATTTTTGTGTGAGGTTGGGAAACATTTTTCAGGATAACTGGGACCTAAACTAAGTCTTACAGGATGAACTGTGTTTACTAGGTGGATAAAAGTCAAGAAATGGATGTTCCGAGTTGTGCGAACGGCTTATGTAGGAAGGGAACATCTTGCACCCGTGAAGCAGGGATGGACTCGGTATCTTTAGGTCAGGGGTGTGGGTCAGGGGGCGGAGGGGAAAGAAACACAGGAGCGGCCAGGTCTCGAGGGTCTTCCTCATGACATTAAAGATATTCTTATTTTATTAATTACTTATTTGTTGATGTTGTTATTTTTATTTTACTATAAGCCATGGAGCATCACTGAAGAATTTTACTTGAAGTCAAAGAATCTTCAAGGGAAGAATATTTGCAATATTTTACTATTTTTTTCTACTTGATTCACACACACAACGAGAATTCAAAATGTTAAATGTAAACAAAGAGAATGAGCGGTTGGTTACCATGGGGGTGGGGCTGCAACAGGGGAAGGGGATAAAGAGGCGCAAACTTCAAGTTATAGAATAATCCAGTCGTAGGGATGGAAGTTGAGCATAGGGAATACAGCTCATAATACTGGAAAATCTCTGTGGAGACAGACAGTGACCACACGTACGGTGAACCCTGAGGAATGTATACAACTGAGGAAGCACCGAGCTGTTCATCTGAAACCAGTGTAATATCACTTATAAACTATACTTCAATTAAAACAAGAAGAAAATTGAAAACAATGCCATTAAATGAAATAATCAAATCTCAAAAAATGGCATTCGTCATGGACTGCTTCAGTCTGAGTGCATAATTTTGCTGACAGCTTTGAAATAAAATGAAGAACCGTTTTTGATTACATGAGGGAAATATCCTCTCTATACAGTAATGTAATTTTAATAACCGAATTCCCTTTGGTCAATATTAACTCAATTTTTTAAGCTTATTTTGGATAAAAATAGAAAATATTCTAGATTTATATGTCTGTCATTAGGAAAAACATTAAATTTTATCAACAGAATATTTAAATACCAGAAGAAAACTCACAAATTTATATGCTGTCCGCACAGCAGGTGTGGCTCTCGTCACCGCCGTGTTGAGCAGCGCGCCCCCTCTCTGCAAAGGAAAGACACGGGTCTCCAGCTTTTGGGCAGAGGCACTGAAAAGAAAGCGTCATCACGGGTGCACAGAAGGGGCTTTACTCACAGGATGACCAAAGACCGACAAAAATTATTCACGTTTCCATATGCCACTGCAGTTTCACACAAAATGTTAATATTCTACTCTGTTTGTTTAGTTGGCATAATGCATCATTTAAAAATCATTTCATCTTTGCATTTTAGGTAGACTTGGGCAATATGACCAGTAATAGGTATGTTTAAATTTAAAGCTTAATAAAAAAGACATACAGGCAACCATTTTACCAACTGTTATAATGCTGGGCAAAAAAGGTCTCAGTCTGTGTAAGTGAGTTTTATATTTAAAAATTCACATTAACAAAAGCACATTACCAGAAATGATAAAACTCCCATTAAATCCTACTACTCCATCTAATTACTTGTTCTGGAAGATGACATAAGGGGACAGTGAAATCTTGCTTTTCAAAATCTCTGGACAAAAGCTTTCCATTTTACAATCATGTGTAACAATCAACAAAAAATAGACATAAAATAAAAAATATTTAAAATGTGAGAAAATAAAAAAACATTTCAAATATTGCCAATGAACAGCATAAGTATAAACGGGTACTTTTACTGAGTATGTATTTCTCTGTAATACTGAGTGAAAGCAGACACACTGAGGGGTTGCTATTACCTTGACTGTATGCACCCACTGCTGATAGGACCTTGGGCTCCCTGGAATATATAAAAATAAGAGGTCAGGAGTGGCTGATCAAAAATGAATCCATAAACTAAAATTCATCAAGGGCTAGTATTTTAGTAGGCAAATTTTATTTATCTGCAATGTTCTGAAAGAAAGAACAGCATCCTAAGAACTAACAAACTGCTCTAATTCTTAGGAACACAGCAATGAGCATTTTAAGTAATCAGTATTTATTAGAATAGATACTTTTCCTTTATACTCACATATAATCAAGTATTCTATCTTCATTCATCTTAATATTATTTTCAGAGAAGAAAACATAACCTCTATTATTTTTCAATGTTTTACATTTGTTATTTTGTAAAAATTTGTCTATTTTATACAGTTAGATTCATTTAAGACAATATTTCAAATGCACAGGAAAGAAAAAAAAACAGAAGAGAATTCAGAAATGCAAAGGACCACAAGGGTAAAAAATATTATTCTATGGATGTTAAATATTAACACTGATAGCAAATTTTATTTTAATACAATTAAATTGCAGTTATCGTTTTGGAAATATTCTCTAGTTGTAAATCCAAATTTGAAAGTTATTACCCAAGTAAATGCAGCTTGTAGGCTACAGAACATCATGGTCATTAGAAAGCTTAATTGTTGAAAAACACAGTTCTAATAAAGCTGGTAATCATATATTCAGCTCCAAATGTGATAAATGTAGTCAACAGGATAACATCAGAAAGGAAAAAAAAAAAAGAAAAAAGCCATACAACTAATGTTTTTTATCAAGTGACTTTAGATTTCGTCTACCTTCTTAATTGTTTAACTGCTTAAAATACAAAAGTCACAACAGCTACTCAGAAGCTCTCCATTACACAGACCCCCTAAAACAGATCATGTTCTCCTTTTTTAAATTGAGGTATAACTGACATGTAACATTGTATCAGTTTCAGCTGTAGAACATGATGGCTCGTTATCTGTCCATCCTGTGAAATGCCAACCACTGTAAGTCTCATCATACCCATCACCATACATGCGGACTCTTGGCAGTATGTGGCTGTGGCTTCTCAAAACTTCACCACCTCACTGCCATAAGCAGGGCAGACGGTCTGAGCCTGAGCTTCTCTCCGTCGCTACCTGCATCCCTCACCAGCATCAGGCAAAATGTGTCCAGTGCTGGATTCACTCAGGGACTTAAATCCTTCCCCTAATTTAAAGGAAATATCAAGGAACCTCCTCCATTCCGAAAAATATCCCTTACTACTCACACTGCATTGCACCTTTTCTGGAAGAAGAAATATGGGGAAAATAATATTTTTTCTAACCTTGTGCAATGATTATAGCAAAAAGCATATACCTAAAATGGCCTATGTCAATAAAATTTACACTGTTTAAAAGGTATCAGTTTCAGGTGGTATTTGGCCTGCCCAAATTTTCAAAAATTGTATTTCCCTCATAAAATGATGAAAAAATTCAAATTATTCGATTTAGTTCTCAAGGAGATTTTATTAACAATAAAATAAACAGTATGTCTATATACAGATTGTTCATATACTTTGGCTTCTCTATTTAAAGTCCTCTTTAGTTCATATGCTTTTTAATTGTTAAAAACAGTTGGGTGGAAATCACATATTTACAACTTGATTACTATTCATAGTATTCTGGAAAGTGTTTTAATTCTTTTCTCAAAAACAAAGCAGAAAGAAACACCAACCTCCATATGATAACTGTTTAGCATTCTGGAACTCCTGTCAACCCAGAAAGCAATTTTTTTTCAAAACTTCTGAACCACAAAGAAAATAGCTATCATAAAACTTCAGCGCAGTCACAGAAAGGTCAGTGTCTTATTCAGACCTGTGAGGAAGAGCGCCCCTCTCCAGCTCTTTACAGTCCACGAAATGTTGTTTACCTACATTACACTCTCTTGAGTTGCACTTTTCTACCTAAAGGAGGTCGTGACGGCAGCCAGATCGACAAGGAGGAGGCGGGCTGGAGTCCGGGGTCTGAGGCCTCGGCCACTCTGTCCTTGTGAACTGTGGGATCTGGGACTCGGTCCTCAACCTGCTGCTCTGACACTGAGTCTGGTGTCTAGCACACCACTGACACATGAAAAATGTTGGCTAGTGTTACAAATAATGCCAAAGAGGGAACCGAGGCTCTGAGGCGATCCCGTACTAGCCAAGTTCACAAAGACAGCAATAGAGAGAGTTAGAATCTACGTGTTTTAATTCTTGGTTCATTAGCCCTTTAACTCTGAAAACTACTTCTTAAGACTGCTAAATAAAATGTGGTAAGACTTGAATTACAGCGAGGACCCCTGTGGGCCACTTCAGAGCAGTGACATCAGAAGAAGAAGGAGGGCTCACCACTGGCACCTCAAGTGTGGACAGTGAGAACCGTCACCAGTACCTGGACTCGGATGGTGTGGGGCGGACAGGGAGACAGGTACAAATTAGGTAGGTTCCCAAATCTAAAGATTTTTACAGGATACCTGTCTCCTAAATACACGACTTTTTAGATTGAAGGCTTCTATTTCCACAAAATTTATGGATCAAGCATACTATTCATTGAAAATATTTTTTATAGGCTATTTTCTTCTGAAATATGAGTCTGATTACCAAAAAATCCCCTTCTCTCTATTAAAGCAACCGGATTGTAGACATAATAAACATTATAAGGGAAATTCTTAACATGGTTCTTGTTGGTCGGACAAGGATTTTGTCACAGTCAAGGGCAAATACCTTCGTGTCACACTCCTGCAAGGACCTTCTCTTCAAATGTATTTAAATTCCAGTGTATCTGTAGTTATTTATCAGATTATATAAAAATTTATCCAAAAAATTTTTCAAATTCCTTTAGTTCCTTGGTCAGAAATACAAAGAAATAGAACTAAATAAATAGAAGACTGATCTTTCAGAAAACTAATGAAGAAACAAATGCTACTGATGGAGAATAAATGCAGGTAAAATCAATCTGAACATGTTTCTCCTTTTTTAAGTTTAGATAATTGGAAGTAGATTTAAGAACTAGTTTTATTTCAAGTGGGAAAAAATACAGGGAAAAAACCTCACGTTCTTAACTAGCTGATATTCCTTAGCCGCTTTATCACAGACCAGCATTTGTGTTCATCTAACGGCACCCTTTGCTCTACTCATGTTCTCTTTTACTACCTTTTAACCTCTGTGGGTCGTCTCCCTTACATCGATATTCTCATTACTTCCCCCTAAGTCCAGGGTACATACTCCACAAGGGTCTCATGAAATGAGTCAGGAGTCAGTCACACGGATCTAACAGTCCTGACCACAGGGACTCTAACAGCAAATGGTTCTAGAAAACCTGCACATATTCGCAGTCTTTAATTATATTTCTAACTTCAGTCTGAATCTAGGTGTTCTATGTATGACCATCCTGCACTGTGTATTTTAATCAGAGCCATGATAATTACAGAGCTTCACCACACTCATCCACTTTATTATAACCAAGCATTTTAGCAGCAAAGACAGTTTACAAGCTGTCGCTACAATGTCATAGGAAGGGGAGAAATTAGATGCTTTTCTGAAATTTCCCAAATATTTTTTCTTAAAGGAAGATAATTTTTTCTTCAGCTTTAGTGAGTATCAATTTTGCCTATAGTGCTCTTCAACAGATATGTGTAAAAAATCTCATGTAAGAAAATCATTTACATATTTAAAAGAGACAGGAACTTCACTCGTGTCCAGTTTGAGTGGAGAAGGCCTGAGTGCTGCGTTTGCTTCCTGAATGTCTTCTAATTAAGGATGTCTTGTCACAAGAAAGTGACGTATCACAGACACTAGAGCAACAGCTCTGAGGCTGGGCAGAGAGGCGCTGAGCTCAGACGCCGGCACTTCTGGCTGCATGACTTCGGGCGAACAGAGATGAGTACCTTCCTAAACACGGGGATGGTCAAAGGGCCTCGAAGGGTGCGAGTGATAAATGAGACCGTATTTGTAGAGCTCCTATAAGAGATTCTGCCACATATTAAAATTCCATAAGCATGAACAATCATTATAATTATTACTCTGACACAGACGTCCCACAAATGTCGTCCAGCTGACAAATGTTTGGAGCTGACCTCTAAGGACTGTTTTTGGAACTATATATGTATATCCTCATTTATAAGAACATTACTAGTTTTTATTGGACTACTCATCTTTTTATTTCAAATCCTAATGAATTTTGCTTTATATTCTCCTAATAGTAATCACTATGTACCTCTAATAACCTAAAACATAATAATTAAAAAATAACACTTGACAGCCAGTCACGTTTCATGTTCTTCCTTATTGGACATGGTGAAATTAACACTTGCTGAGCGAGGCTTTTCTTTTGGATGAGAATTGGCTCCCTCAAATTAAATAAGAGGTCAAAACCCTTTTTTATTTTAAGAAGGAACAACAAAGTGGTTGGCATTAAGTTGTGTTGAAAATGCAGACATCCCTAAATCAAATGGAAATCAAATTCTCCTCTCCTTTTTTAAACAATATGACCTTTACTAAAAAGTTTTATAGTGACCCCACCTTCCACCAGAAAAGCCTCTACCCTCTATTTACAGAGGTATCAGGACCAATGGTAAGGACACAGAATCTAACTATACAAAAGGATTGCAGTTCTACCCCATTACTGTCACAAGATGTCAGCTTCAATTCCACACAAGACCCTAACCCCACGGGCCACAAAGATAATGGGGCAATAGTGATGTAAATACTGAAGAGACGCCTCAAGCAGTTTGACCATGAGCTAACAATATTTTGCTTGTCTGAGTTGAAAGCAAAAGCCTTATTTTAACACAGAAGTTCTATTGAAGCTCAGTTTTTACCCATGACCTAAGAAAGCAAGGCGCTGAACGATTCCATATTCGGCTTACTTGCAGAGTCAAGTAAACTAAGTTTTCCCCAAAGCTAAATGCTGTCAATGAAAGGCTGTACTTACATCAGACAAAGATCCACAACTGTTCATCATTTGCACCTCTTTTAATGAACAGATTATATACTTTTTACATTTTTGTGGTTTTCATGGGTTTTTTTGGTGCAAAATGGTTTTCGTATTGTTATGGAGCAAAAATAAATGTTATTTAAGAATAAAACTAAGTTTGGGGAAATTCGTAGATGAGTACTGATTACTATTTCTCTTTTCATGTTTTATTTCTCAATTCTAGCAATGATTTATTCACACACAGACTAAAGACTTTTTTTCCAAATTAAAACTACGAGTAAGTGGAAACATCCACTATTATACCAGGAGAAAATGAGCACATCAAGCATTTTTGCGTGTTTAGCTCACCCCGTTATCTACAACAGGTCTCATACAATTCCTGGCTGAATGAGCGAGACATTTCAAGGACCCGAGGAGAACTCTGCCAGAAACAGGACTACATATCGGAGCAACTGTGTGCACAGCATTGGTTTTTAAGTCATTAATCGCTTAGGTGATTATAACACGGTTTGAATATCTACATTTCAAACAATGCAATAATTAAATTATATTAAAGTTAATTGTATCAAATAAAATGGGATCTCACCTAACTGGTATTTCACACATACAAAATAATATGACTCCCTCCACTGCCTTAAGTGAATGCTTTTCACAACTGCAAGTACATGGGATGGTAAACCGAGGTGTTTTCCTAGTGCTGCAGCTGTTGTGCAAAGAAAGGTAGACTCGTACAGTTAACACACATAAAAATGTGGAAGGAGTCGTATTCAAACCTTTCTTTTTGGATGAAATTATAATCTCTATCAACTATAAACTCAGTTCTTGAATTCTCACTCAGTAGTGGCCACCGTAGTAGTTTTCTAGCAGAGAACACTAGTCAAGAGGACAGACAGGAAGATTTAAACTAATTGCATTTCTGTGATTACAACTGGTGCAAACAACTACCAGTTGTTTGCCTTGAATAACAGTTATCAGGTAAAATAATACCATAGCTTTTGTAAGATGGAAAAATGTATTTAAGACACTACATGTTTAGGAGAAAATAGTTGTTTATGAAGTAGACTGTATCACACAAGTGCAAAAATCAAGATAATTGTTATTCAGAAAATGGATAATCATACTGGGACTAGTCTTTACCTCCACAATAGCCCCCTGAAGTGATCTCCTCCTCAAACACATCAGAGAAGCCCCTTCCTGCATTTAGTTTTGCCAGTCGACCATCAATAAACTGAAATTAAAAAGTGTCAAATATGTTAATTTGCATTTATTTCAAAAGATTACATTTTTACTTTATCAAAAATATTAATATCAGACATATAACTATAAATTACACACAAATGTGCACACACAAACATACACATATGTATGGCAAGAAAATTCTCAGTTGAAATAGCAGGTGCTCAGTGACCAGTGGCTAATTAGCTAAATCACAAACATATAGTACAGACTCCAGTTTCATTAGCAAGAAATAGGAAAGTGCAGTAGTAAAGATCATGGGCTCTGCACAGGCCACTCAACCCAAAGCCTCTGCAGACGAGGCCACACAAACGGACGAGGCCGTGTCCTGCCTCCTTGGCAGCAGCTCCTTCAGGGCCGCCTCAGAGCACTGCTGCAGACACCCCATTAGACCGACCTAGGTGATGCGCTTGAACACAGTCTCCAACATAGTGGGTATCCACCGAACATAAGACATTACTATTTTGAGATTAACTTCATCCAGCGAAAGGAAACACTCCTCATCGAGATTATGTCCTAAAGCATAATAAGGCACCAGATAATTCTGACCCTTGGACAAAAAGTACAATTTACATGATTCCTGGCAGATGTATTGACTGAGTGATCAGAACTCTGAGAACGGATTCGAATACAGTTCAGATAAACTCATGCCGCCTTGACTTGGATAAGGTTGTGTGAAATGATACCTTTGTTCAGTGTTCTTAAAGAAGAAATTGGAGAGGGGAGCAGACGCTCATCGGAAGCACCCCGAGATCCTTTTCCACATGCAGACACCCTGTGGACAGTCTCCCAACATCTGTTCTGCCCCCTCTCCACTCTGTTCCTGCACACATAGCCCATCTAAATCTTGGAGTACTGATACTGCATTTCAAGAAGTACCCTAAGGGGATTACTTTGCTGGCCAGTCCCTGGTGTAAACCAATGATATGTTTTACATACACATTAGTCCTGGCACTTCGTGATTTTTTATTTTGTTGATCAACGGCATCTGAAATTTTTATTTATTGGATTATGAAAAATCTTGTAAAAGTCTTGAGGTTTCTCTGTTCACGATGAAGGCGAAGTACCTTTAAGGCCCACTACATAAGGGGCAGAAGGTCCCACAGGAAAGATCTGAGTGAGGGTTGCAGGGGAGACTTGAAGATTTGGGGATTAACACAACATGTTCAGCTTCTGCAGAGGAGGAATTAATTAATCCTGGCCACAATATTTTCACCCTAGAAACTTAAAATTTAGCTGAATTAAAATCAAGTAGCTTGAATTTTAAAAATTCTTACACTCTGCCCTAGTTTTCTGTTTAAATGGTTAATGGGCAAAACTAATTGAGAGGAGTTATACAGAACAATACAGTATTCCTCAGGTAGCAGGTTAAGGTAATTACGGCATAAGTTACAACAGTTACAAGACTTTGAGACACAAATCTCTTGCAGACAAAATTAGGGAAGAATGGCAAATGAATCAACGGATTCCTATTCAAAATGTCATTTAACTACCTTTTTATTACCACAGAATGGTTGACCAAAAATGTGGTAAGATGGGTTTAAACAGACATAGCCTAAAGGGTACAGTCATGGCTCCTTTTTTACAGGATGAGTTGATCTCATAAGTATTAGAAGTCTTTGAGGACAGGGACAATAGATCACCCACTTTTATGTCCTCGTTATGCTTGCATTGCACAAGGTTTCCAATAGGGTAAATGAAAATGAGTATGGAGTTCGGTGCAGGAAAGGCCGGCCTCACAACTTTGCCACTTGCTGGCTTTACAACCTTGCCATCTCTGAGACTCTGCTTCCCCCCTTGGAAATGCAGAATAATAATAAATAGCCCATGGGAGTTTTTTGAGCCTATATTGTAAACACAGAAAAAATGTTAGTAACAGAGCCCTCTTTTCCCTTCAACCTTTATCAATAGCCGAGCTTCCTGAGTGAAGGATCACCATCTTTCTCATGTATGCATCTTCCGCACCTGGCAGGACGCCTAACATACAGCTTGAAGTGAAGAAATGTTTGCTCAAGAAGCATACTGAAACAATGCTAATGATCATACACTTTGCCAGGCTTTACAGTTAAATCGTTAAGTGTATGGAATTGTTCGTTTCATTCTATGTTGAGATAAAAGGCAGTAACTTATAATGTTGTGTCTTTGCTACATACAATAAATGGCTAATTTGAAAATGAAGCAATTGAAAATGCATGCAAAATTTGACTTGCACACATTTTCAACACAGCAATAAATCAAACTAAAGTGACCTAATTTGATAGACTAAGTATCATTTTGAAAAAAAATAAGGTAAAGCAAAATGATAAATTAAAAGCAATATATTACTGACAAATGAAACAAACTAAGACATCCTTTTAAAGGACTTAATTTGCCTTAAAAGATTACGACTACAAGACTTTTTAAAAGGTTTTCATTTTTATGTTTACTGGAAATAATCCATCCATTTTAGTTGGAGTGGAACAGTTCAGTCTAAAAAGAGATAAATCCCGAAAGTATTTACTGATTATGCATTTTTGAGCATGAGTAACTAGACTGTGTTACTAAACTAGTGATTTGAGCCAACAGAAATTAATCACTTGGTGAAATGTCCCATTATCACTGACTTTGCAAACAGTCCTGTCAGTGACAGTCAGACACTTATCAACATATGTACTTAATGAAAATGTTGGTTCTTAAAATAAAAGATTGATTTTGTGCACATATACACACATACTATATATATACACACATACAAATACAGACACTAGGAGTGGAATGCTGAAGGTAAGAGTTCTCTCAACTCCTTTTTCCATTTTTCATTCAGTACAGCTTTTCTTCTCCCAGCTGGAGGTGGTTCATGGTCATAACATTTTAATAACTCTGAAGCATTTCATAGTTAGAAAAGATAAGAACATTTTTAGCTACCGTTGTACGGAAATAATTTTGAACTGAAAAATATTACTTGTTGGAAAAGCTACGACTTTCTAAAGTGCTGTTGTAACCTGTCACTTGATTTACAGTTAGATCACTTTGTAAACTTTAAGTAAGTGGAAGACATAAGTTTTAGAAGAATTAATTTGGTATTTCAAGTAATGGAAAGTCACAAACACTGCTAACTATGTGAGTGCAGCACACAGAAAACAAGGGTGCAAACAGATTTTTAAAGGAACTTAACAGTTTGCTTTAAGATGATACTTTTTACATAAAACAATATTTTGCTTTTTATTCTAAAAGTGAAAATAAAGCCTGGAACTAAATATGCTGAACAGTCATACCAAAACATGAATTTCATAGTTAGAAATCTCAAAAAAATTCATAGACATAATTCCATATGTGGATTCCATAATTTTATTATAGATTATAACTAGATAAAATTGCTTTAAACAAGAATATAAGATCATAAGATTCTCAAGATCAATAGAACTATTCCCTGTAAATTATCAATAATTGCAAGAACTGGATTTAATCCTATGACATGATCTTAAAGTAGTATGACAGGTTACAAGACAAATGTTTTTAAGCAGCAAAACAGCTTCTTGCTTTTTGATATTGGTATCACTTAGGTTTTTGAAAGCATTTTTATTGTTAAATAATCAACTTAAAATTTGAGTCCATTTGGAGATATTATCTGTGCTTTAAATGCACTTCAATAAGCAATATTGTGAAATGGAAATGACCATTCGCTACTTCAATTCTTAAAATACAATTAAACATAAAAAGAATGTTTTAAAAATGCAATAAAATATAAAGAATAGACTTGATGGTAAACTTCAGAAAGTATAAATAATATGTTCTGATTAGATTCACAGATTAAATGTGAACACACCACCAGTAGTCTAGTAGGAATATTTCTTTCCTGTTAGAGATAAATTGTATGCTTTCCACAATGCTTTAACTCTTCACTAGTCAGTGAATTTCTGACATTTAAATTAAAAATGCAAGGCAAGTTATGCTATGAATCAGTGTTCTAAATACCTTTAGTGGTCTAGACATATGTTATATAAATATTTAATTACAGTTAATCCATCAAAACTCTGAAGATGCCAATTAAATTTCAAAATTCTTATATGGTTCTTAGAGAAATATTTGATTTTTTTTTAAAGAAAAGCTCATAAAGACAATTGTTCTAGACAGAAAGGTTCAATGGTGCAATTCTTTACCAAGCCGGGAAGAGGGAAGATGAGGAATTGTTTCTGTGCTGACATGACAGCCTTTTTCCTGAAGCTGAGCTGCAGGGGCACAGGAGCAACCCAAGGAACAAACTTAGACACTCAAATTCTTTTTTCAGCCTGAAGGAAAAATAGTCGTATCTCAAAAATTTATCTCATATTAGAAACCCTTTCTGAGCACAAAGATAACAAAGAAAGTAGAGCTAAAAAAAAATTAAAATTTTAATGAATCAGAAATCTTTGGCAATTTAAACAAAAAATTTAAACAGCAAAAATTTGAGCATTTAAATTGTTTGAGATTTTTCTTGTTTCTTGAGGTTAGACCTGTATGTCCTTGGGCACAGGCATCAAAAGCAAAATCAAACAAATGGGACAATGTCAAACTAAAAGCGGTTATACAGAGAAGGACACCACCAGCAAAATGGGAAGGCAACCTGCTGAATGGGAGAACATATTTGCAAATTATATACCTGACAAGGGGTTGATATTTAAAATATATAAAAAACTCATACAACTCAATAACAAACAAAAAAACAAATAACTGTATTAAAAAATGGGCAGAGGACATGAATAGACATTTTCCCAAAGAAGAAACTCAGACGGCACACAGGCACATGAAAAGAAGCTCCACATCACTGACATCAGGGAAACGCCAATCAGAACCGCAGTGAGACGCCACCTCACACCTAAGAGAGTGGCTATCGTCAGAGAGACAAGAAATAGCCAGTGTTAGAATGTGGAGTAAAGAGAACCCCCATGCGCTGTTGGTGGGAATGTAAACTGATGCAGCCACTATGGAAAACAATATGGAGGTTTCTCAAAAAATAAAAAATAGAACTACCAT